GCGCGCCCGGGGCAGGGGCCAGCACTGTGTGTGTGCCGGGGGTAGGGGCCACCCATGTGCCCTGAGCCCAGGACCAGCACCGCACATGGGCCGTGCGCCCAGGACAGGGGCCGCCCATGCGCCCAGGGCCGGCACCACGCATGTGCCGCGTGCCAGGGGCGGGGCCAGCCCAGATGTTTCGGCGGGCGCACATAAATGTCCCAGCGGGCGCCATGGCGCCCACGGGCACCACGTTGGGGACCACTGATCTAGGTCGTCTCTAATAGATGTCTATCTAACTTGCTCTTAAATATCTCCAGTGATGGGGATTCTACAACCTCCCTAAGCAAAAGAAGGAATGAGGACACTCCTACCACTGGACAATGTGAGCATGAATCCCACTGCCTCTCACATTCTAAGCAAGCGCTTGACCACTTGAGCCAATTCCCCTGTCTACAGTGACAGTGTTATTGTTACATACCTTCAGTTGTGTTATAAGGCTGAAAGCCTTGAACCAGGCTTCTAAAGGTATCGATGTGGCTCCATTCAGCATTGCAAGGCCTGAATGACTTAGATTTTCTCCTGTCAAGGCCTGGAATTTAACTAAAGGAGCAATTGCCCTGGCACCTGGTGATTCAAAGGAAACAGCAGCCAGAGTCCCAGGCCACTTATATCACTGCTGGAGCACAGCAGTGAGAGCTCCGGGCAGCACTGAGGGCTGGCTGACCTTGGTCCTGCCCCTTCTGATCTTGGCCTCTCCCCTTCTGGGAATGCAGAGCCACCCTCCTACCTTGCCCAGAGTCCCATGGAGGCTGCTGGCTCCATTATCAAATCTCATTTTCAAAAGGGACAGTGCTCTTAAGTTCTATTATTGACTTCTTCCCTGTGTGCTCTGTATACATTTATTTCTTGGTTACTTTCCATTGTACGTTGTATTCCACTTCACCCAGCGTTGCCAGGGTTTTATTTCATGGCTGCAGTTGTCTTCTCAAATAGCATATAAAAATACCCATTAAATTTCTCCTATAGCAATGTGTACGTGCAAACAAAATTTTGTTTTGTATATTTTCAAATGAAAAAAGTAACTTAGACACTATTGAAAATAGAATTTACTTAGTACTGAAAATTCTTTAAGTGCTGTCAATGTGGGTGTTTGCACCAGTATTGGTCACCTGAAACTAAATCTAGGATGCTGTCATCCCTTCCTATGTGGGATCTACCTCCACACCCTTTAGAGGCTTACAGTTGTGTGTGGGGGTGTGTTTAAAAGCCAGGTATACAGTAGACCTGGAAGCTTGAATTAATGTACGTAAGTTCAGCTAGGTAGAATACGTAGCTAGATTTGGCTTATTTTAAGCCAAGCTTGGCAGCGTCCCCACAGTGGGAGGACGACAGAAGCAAACGCTTCCATCAGCTTCCCTTACTCCTCACAAGAGCTGAAGTACCAAATGCTGGCAGGGGTGCCCTCTGAGTTCAATTTAGCGAATCTAGTTAAGACTCACTAAATCAAACTCTAGAAGGTTGATCGTGGCAGTGTTGATCTTCCGTGGAATAAAGACATGGCCTTAGACTCTCCTCTGTGTGGTGTGGTTTTGTTTTGTTTTTTTGTTAGCAGTTCCTCCAGAAAATATCTGGGTCCAGCTTCTAACAGACAAATGTTGCCCATTACCATTGAAACTTGTGGTAGTACAAGGCAGAAGGAAAGCCAGAAGGAAGATGTGCCAGAGGCCAGAGCCTTCTTATGGGTATCATGTGTTCACTAGGATGTGTAGGAGGAGGACCTAAACATTGTAAAAGAAAATGCCTAATTGCCCATTACCCTGCTCTTGGTAGGAGTGTCTGAGTTCCCAATTTTATATGGAAAAGAGCTATATGGGAAATGTAATGGTGGTGATGGGACCACAGAGGGGGAAGATGCATGTTGTGTAAGGTGAAATGATCTAGGCAAAGGTTATTTAATTTCAAATGCTCTTGCATGGCATCTGTACCATCACATTAATCTTTCGTAATGAGAAAGTTCAAGCTTCTTGCTATTTTGTTTCTGTCAGTATTTCTTTTTCATTCACAACCCTCAGTTCTAAACCACTTTTCCACTGCTGTTAGCTAAGCTTTTTGTAGCTGTCTGCTGAATTTGTCGGGTTGGGTTTATAGTACCTAACTAAAAAGGGTTGCCCATATATTTCAAAAATATTTCATGCTACATGTAAGAACAGATATGTTCTGTAGAATCTTAACTTTCGTTATGGTGCTCTTCATTATGTTGCTATTAGATACAGTTGGATGTAGATTCACTTGCAGGCAAAGGATTTTACGTGGTATAACGCAAGATGTTATATGAAGGAATAGGGGAATAAGGAGTTAAAGTAACATTTTTATTTTTTGAGGTAGCTGGACCCAGATATTTGAGGCAAACATTTTATGGATATTTCACTATCTTGTTGACAGCTCATTGGGGTGAAAATTATTTTTGTTATACATTGTTCTGTTACAGCTATTAAAATACATTCAAAATTTCAAAGAAAGCAGCCTGATTATTATACTAACTTATGGTTTTAAAATGAATATGAAATGCACATATATTTATCTTTCAAAAAGATTTGACTTTCTAATTTTTGTTTTTAGAATAACTCTGGAACTGTCTATGGACAGGCTAGGTGTCATGATTGTGACTTTCAGTTGGCTGAGTCTTGGATACCTACTGCCACCATTTAAGACTTTCAGTGGGAAATTTTACCTCTAGGTGCCCCTCCCTCTGCTTGCTTGTAACAAGGGCCAGGTCCCCAGGTAGTATCTCAATAAGTATGGCAGATGTCCTTCATTGGCTGCTGCAAATATCCCCATTCACCGCAGCTCCACTCCAGACAGAAATAGCAAACTTCCAATTAAATCCTATGAATGAGCTCTGGTACTAAACATCTGTCAGTGTCCTTTTCAAGCAATGGAAAATGTTATTTCATACCCCAGTTCAGGGTTCCTTTTTATAAGCCTCAAAGTTTGACTTTCTCCCAATTTTGTCTCCCTGTTATAGCAGTCTGACTCTCCATCATAGCTGATGGACCACTTTCTGGAGTTTGAGACTTTTCTTGGCAACTTCAGCAAATCTTCACCAAACCACCTTCAGCTGGCCAGTCTCCACACTTCTGCCTCAGCGGTCTCCCTCCTATTGCTGACTTTCAAATAAACATGTTAGTGTGCATTCTAGCAACTCAAAGGGCCCTCACAGAGTCCTGAGTTTCAAATCACTAACTTAATTCCACCCACATATTTCACGTCCCACATAGCTCATATCTGACAAAATATAAACACAACATGTAGCCTAAAGTTCTCCAGGCTAAGTGACATTTTATTCAAAATACCTAAAATTGTTTGTGTGTATGTCAGGGCTGATCTGTGGTGGGAACTTGTATCACCCTAACTATTTTCTGAGGGATGTGAACATTCATGCATAAAAAGATGTAGCTATGCCACACATCACCAGGCTGTGGTGGTGGTAATTTTAATATTTTTCATTTTTCAAATTTTCTGCAAGGAAGCTACATGAATTCCTGAACTAGTACATAAGTGGGGAAAGTATAAGTTCAAATTGTATTATTGCTCAACTTTGTGTGATGGAATTCTGCTAGGGCATCAGCAATGGGTAGGAAAATTTGGAGAAAAGATTTTAGATGTGCATGTTTAAGGCTTTTTGGGAGAAGTTGTAACTAGGAAGGGTGACTAATTTAAATAAATCTGTTATCTTGTTTAAACCAGGTCTGCTGCAGAAAAATAACAAGGCTGTTGAAGCACTTCAGGTTTCTTGTCTTCTGCTGCCACCAGAAAATCGGAAAAAGCTGCAACTACTGATGAAAATGATGGCAAGGATCAGCCTCAACAAAGATCTGCCACCTCTTTGTGACATAGCTGGGACCAGAGCACTGGTATGCAAGGATTACCAAATGTTGAAACAGCATTGATGAAAGATTCTTGTTAATGCATGCAAAGTACAGTGTACTTCGGAGATGTTAGTAAATGATGTTCAGTTGGTTATTTGAACCAACTAGATAGTGATTGAGAGCACCATTTAGAAGTTGGAAATTCGAGTTTTTGCTCCATTCTATTTTAGGTGTGCACGCACCTGTGTGCACAGTCTTTGGAGATTTTTGCATTAGCAATATGCATAGGGTCAACTGTAGTGCCCCTCTGAGTACTGTGCTCACGTGGTACTATGTTAGGTGCTGCCCACCCTATGCCTTCTCAGGTCCTTCTTACTGCCTGTGATGGACGAAGTGCTTTGAGGGAGTCCCACAGAAAGGACAAGTGCAAAATCTGTAGAACTTCCACCCAGAACCAAAAAGGAGCTGGATAGCCACTTGAGGGTCCTCCTTATGGAGTCTGTGCTTCATCCTCCTACTCTGATCTCATACTGAGTCCCTTGGCATCTGTGCAAAGCACACCTCTGGTGCTGTTCTTCCGCACCAGTGCCAAAAAAGTGATAAAACAGGAGGAGTTCTTGGCACCATGAGGGAAAGGGGCCTCAGCCAAAGGACCTGTCAGGTTATGTGCCCGCCCTGGAGATTCACAGGGATACTGTTGCAGCCTGGCCAGGGATTGGCCTCCGGTTGGGTACACTGGCTTTTCTTTGGGCCCTTGTTGCCCAAAATGTCCCCTTTCAATGAAGAACAATTTGTCAGACCCTCTGTCTAACTCTGTGTGTTGTGTTGTAGCTGACACCAATGACAGTAGTGTGCAAACCAGGAAGTACAGTAAGCAATGCAAAGTCACGTTGCCATTTGTTCAATTACATGAAAATCTTTGCCATTTGTGTCTAACAGAGACAAATGCAAACTTGGCTTTCTTGTCTTGAAGAGTATATTACAAGTAAAAGCACAAAAGAAAATTATTCTTGTCCCTTTCCCTGAAAAATGAAACCTGAGTGTATACACTTATATTTGTTCTTGAACCACTAATATTTTAATTAAACATACGTAACTTGATTAAAATTCTTAAATTATAATAACCTCCTAACTGCCATTATTTTAACTGTATAATATATCCTATGGCTACGTCTACACTGGCAGCTTCTTGCGCAATAATTGTTTTGTGGAAGAGTTCTTGCGCAAAAAGTCTTCCACAAGAGTGCGTCTACACTGGCATGTGCTTTTGCGCAAGAGATGTGCTTTTGCACATGAGTGTGTATGGCAGTGTGGACACTCTCTTGTGCAAGAAAGCTCTGATGGCCATAGGGGTTTCTTGTGCAAGAAAATCATGTTGCCTGTCTACACTGCCTTCTTGTGCAAGAGGGCTTATTCCTCGTGGGGAGAGGAATAACTCTTCCGGAAGCCCTGTTTTCCAACGCTAGACTGTAAATTTACTTGCACAAGAACGCACGTACAGTGTAGACACCTGGCAAGTTTTTGCACAAGAAGCCGCCAGTGTACACTTAGCCTATGTGTGTACTCTATATAGTATTTTACTGTAGCATTTGAAGAGTTCATTTGTTGTATGTGACAGAGAAGTAAAAGTTAATTTGTCTGCTGTTTATATCATGGCAACCAGTGACTGGAATATAGACAAAAGATGATTGCAATTAATTATTACATTTAGTGTTGTAGCTTGCACCTGTATCTTACCAGCTGCAGCAGTTTGGGTCCACAGCTGCATGAAAATGATCTGGACAGCTGTCTGGAATTTAGTTAGAAATTCTTGGAAACCATTTTATTTGTTTAATAATAAGGAAATTCAGATAACCTTGTGACTTTCTGCTACATAGCAGTCCATGATAATAAAATACTACTATTGTTGTCTATTTAGTTCAATATCCCATATGAAAAGGCTATCTTTTCAAGCCTTAACAATAACAGAGTTTATTTCCAGTAGTCTAGGTCTGAAATAAAGGCTTAACTATGTAACTGCACCATTAGACCAATCTAACATAGTGCAAACAATACATTTATTAGTTTGCTTCAACATTTTCACTTACACAGTGCTTCTTTAATATTGTTGTATTGGAAACATATTGCCACTACTGAAGTCTGCTCTTTTCTGAAAGATCACTTTGACACTATTTACAATTTTCCTTGCAAACAATGAGAAATATACCGTATTTTCCAGCGTATAAGTCGACTGGGTGTATAAGACGACCCCCTAATTTTCTAGTTAAAAGATAGGTTTTCGTCTTTATACTCGCCGTATAAGACTCCCCCGCCTTAAGAGGCCAACCGGCAGCGCCCCTCCGCCTCCCCGGCTTTGCTCCCGGTGTCCCTGGTCTGCTGGAGATGGTCCCCAGCAGAGCAGAGGCCTCTAAGAACCCTCAGAGGCGCGGCACCCTGCCGCCGCTTTGGCTTTGCTCCCGGTGCCCCTGGTCTGCTGGGGACCGTCTCCAGCAGACCAGGGACACTGGGAGCAAAGCCTCGGGGGAAGCCGGCAGCGGGACAGCCGCGGCGCGCTTGGGCTGCCCCGCTGCCAGCTTCCCCTGAGGCTTCACAAAGCCGTGGAGGGGCTCGGGCAGTGGGGCAACCCAGGCGTGACTGGGCTGCCCCGCTGCCGGAGCCCCTCTGCGGCTTTGCTCCGCGTCTTCCTGGTCTGCAGACCAGGGAGACGTGGAGCAGCTTTTCTTGCCCCGGAGTACACGGGCGGCGGGACCACGAGGTCCCGCAGTCTGTGTCCTCCGGGGCAAGAAAAGCCCCAGCGTATAAGACGACCCCCGATTTTTGGGGGATGTTTTTTAGCATAAAAAGTCGTCTTGTATGCCGGAAAATACGGTATACAATGTATTTTTCTGATTTATTTTTTATTTTTTTTTATTTTTACATTTCAGATGGTTCAAGCATTTTCTCATTGCATCCTCCGCTCTAAAGATGAAGTGGATTTAAATGAACTGCTTGCTGCTAAGCTAGTAACATTTCTGATGGACAATTGCCAAGAGATCTTGAATGTTCCCTCCTCCTTACAGGCTGTCATAGAGGAGCATGTAGTACATCTCCGAAGAGTCCAGGTGGGGCTAATAGAGGTGTTCAGTAATCACATGAAATGTCTCCCTCCTTTCTAAAAATATGGCATGTTTTATGTTCTTATGTAGCTTTTGCTACCTTTCTGATATCGTAGGCACTACCTGTAGCCTGAATGAATTGTTGCTATCAGCAACACATCATATATGTTGTATATTTGTGAAACACTAAGCACTAACTACTCTGGTAGTTAAGGCAAAGTAACAGTGCAGTAACTCCTTGCATGTCATGGAGCATTACTTTTTAGTGGCTGATTAATGAATTGTGGGGAAAGGAGCAGTTTGCAACCAGACTTAAAATTAAAATTTTCAAAAACTCCTAACTGACTTGGGTTCCTAAATCCTGGTGGCACTTAAGAAAATGGTATCTAAAATTTAATTCAGTGACAAAACAAAGCTACACATGGAAGGTTGGAGGTTGCCACCACGGCTGAGCTAGTGATTCATGGCTTGGAGGAAAACATTTTATTCTTCTTGGTCTCTATAGAGATCCCAATTTTAAAAGAATGAAAAGAAAAACTCAGTAAATACTCAGCCCAATAAGAACCCTGGCTACAGATGGCATATAACTTATTTCAATTGTACTAAGATGAGCTTTTTCAAGAAGACACTCAAATTTAAATGAATCCTTAACTACTGTTTCTGTCAGGGATAAAAATTCCTGTCCTGTTACAGCAGGTGAGCTCTTACAATTTATTCAGTTATGCCTAATCTACTATCTAATTGCTGTGTTGTTCACCCGAAGTCAGGAGTATTTTTTTTTCCAATTTGGCAGGACAGAAGTCTAGATTCTCATTCAGCAACTCTAACAGAGGATATACATTTCCTGTCCCATAAATTTAAAGGTGCTCCAGAGCTGGAAAGGCTGGGGCCATACAATTGCCCTGTGCTCCAGAGAGAGGGGCATGCTAGCCTTCAGCAGGGGCAAGGCAGTGGCTACAATGTGGGGAACGGGTGGAAGACCGGGCCCAGTGGCTACAATAGATGCTGTGTGGGCATAGAAGGGTTGGGGTCTTGGGCAGAAGGGGCAGGGCTGGGCCAGCTGTTCATCACTGCCCATGGATATTTTCTAGTCTAACATTTCTGCCAGTATATTTCTGCTTAAAATATCTGGATATTAAATGTCATAATCCCAGTGTTACTCTTGTAGTCTCATCCAGGTATTTATTTTTTATTCTTTTTTAGTGCCTCCCAGAAGGAAAGTGTTTGACTAAGCAGATTTACCAAAAATATTCAAACTTCACAATGCCTTAGCTATACTCAGTCTCTTGGTGTTCAATTGTTCTTCATAATTCTAATTTCAGTTAATTTTCAGTCTTGGTGTTGGTGTAGGACGCCCTGCAATCTTAACTCAGTTGCAGAATACCACAATAGAATTTGCATTGCAGATTTAGATGAATAAGCATTTACTCCAAATTAATGCATTTAATCTTACACTTTTGCCTTCTTCTCATTCACTTCTACATTATTACATAGTAAGTGCTTAAATGAAACAGTGTAAGGCCCTAAAAGCAAAATGAACAGAAATAACTGTATTGGATTTGCATGCAGTCCAGATGACTGACAAGAAAATATTCAACTGTTCGTTTATTAAATAAAGGAAATAAAACTATAATCCAAACTAATCTAGCAGTTGCCTGCATATTACATTGCTCTACAATAGCAACTTTCACAGTTCTTCAGAGACACCAAAAGAAAGGTGGAAAAGAAAGGTGGAAAAATTGGAGAAGGTCCAGAGAAGAGCATAAAAAATGATTAAAGGTCTAGAAAACATGGCCTATGAGGGAAGACTGAAAGAATCCGGCTTGTTTAGTTTGAAAAGAGAAGTCAGTGAGGGGACACGATAGCAGTTTTCAAGGATCTAAAAGGTTGTTAAAAGGAGGGGGGAGAAAAATTGTTCTCCTTGGCATCTGATGATAGGACAAGAAGCAATGGGCTTAACTTCCTTGCTGCAATTTATAGGTTGGACATTAGGAAAAACTTCTTAATTGTCGGGGTGGTTAAACACTGGAATAAATTGGCTAGTGAGGCTCTGGAATCTCCATCACTGGAGAAATCTAAGAGCAGGTTGGATAAACATCTATCAGGGATGATATAGATTGTGCTTGGTCCTGCCGTGAGGACAGGGGACTGGACTTGAGTTCCTGAGGTTTCTTCCTGTTCTATTATTCTGTGGTTCTAAAGCAGAACAGAATATATGGTTTTGGGGATATTTTAGTGGTCAGAATAGTTCTCTGCCCCTCTCTTACAAAATCTCAAACCAGGATCTGTCACCTTTCTAATCTTTGCATTACAGGGATGTTGGGAAATATTATCTACTTCCTACCCCACCAATATGCCAATGAAGTGGTGTTGGAAATAGTCAAGGACTCATGAAAGAGTTGTAGATTTTCAAGACTGCTGAATCTGCCAAAAGGGCAGTCAGTCTGTGTGTGCACAGAAAGGGATTTGGCAATTTCATCACGAAGGATAGTCATCTTGTATCCCATCAGAGGGGGAGTATGTATGTGTGGGGAGGGGCTGGAATATATTAAAGCTGGTCACTCTCTCCTTCTGCCAGCTAGCTGCTGCTTGGTGCTATTCTCGCTTACCCAGATCCTATCACTGCACTCACTTTGTCTCTCCTCCACAGTGTATTTTTCCTAGCTCTTCTATTTTATTTACTTTCATTCATTCCACAGGCGTTCCTCCTCCCCCTCAATTTATGATGAAGTGCTTTGTTGATTCTATATTTTTATAAGAAATGGCTTGAATGAACCAAACTATCAATGTATTTGATTTGATCAAGGTCACACAATGGTCAGTGAATCACACAGGGCCCCACTTTAAATGCCCCAGTTTTTCCAAATGTACTCTTAAAATTATAGTCTTTCTTTCCCCCTCAGATAAAATATGCAGGCGCTGATACTGATACAGCTCTGCCTGGTCCATCATTTTGTCATCAAATAAGTACAGATGAATTTGAATACCAAAGAGTAAATGGCTCTCAAGAGCCACTTGCAGCTCTGTTGGAAGAAATTGCAATGAATAAAGAAATATCTGTCAAAGACAAAAAGAAGAAGCTGAAACAGGTAAAGAAGATTCTTAGAAATTCTTGTTTGTGGTGGTTATTATTTTTTCTTTTCCATCTGTGTGTATGTGAAGGATTTGATAGTTGCTTCTTATCTTTTACATTTCTATAAAGACCAGTTTTATAGTTGTTCAATCTTTGAGGATTAAATTACAGTGAACTAAAGGCTCATTGAAAACAAGGAGTCGAGTTGCACCTTAAAGACTAATAACATGAGATAAAACTCTCATATGAAAGCTTATGCCCTTATAAATGTTAGTATTTAAGGTATCACTGCATTTGCTGTTGTTTTTGCTCTAAAGGCACATTAAATCCTATGAGAACATACTTTTAGGGAGGATGGGGGAGAGAGGGGAAAAAAATATTAAGATACTTTTATGAATGCAAATTGACTTTGCATTTTCAGTTGATTTCCTTTCACTTTCCTGAGTGTCCCTGTGAAGATATGACCTTAGACTAATAAAGTTAAAAGATGGAAATGTTCTGTGTACTTGGAGATTTTGAGGCATTTTCATAAAAAAGTCTGTTAAATTGTAAGATCCAGTTCTGAAAAGGAAAAGGAGGCTGGTGTTTAGGCTCTTGGAGATTGAATAATTTTAATTTATTTTTAATTTAATTTCTTACAGAAGAGGTTTGTAGTAAAGCAACTTCTATTGGAAAAGACTACCAAGTTTTATATGCAGAGTTGTACACTCTGTGGCACAAAAAGCATATTTTTACTGGCACGTACAGAAAAAATTTGCTTTGTTTCTTTGCTTTAAGTAGCTACATTATTAATGTTTAATCTTTTTTATGAGGCTTTGTTTTGTTTAAACTGTACTTTTTTTTTAGTTTCAGAAGTCCTACCCTGATGCGTATAAAGAAAGATTTCCTACTCCTGAAAGTGAGGCAGTTCTATTTCCAGGGAAAAAAAAACAGAAACCACAACTGCTGATGTGGGCACTGAAAAAACCTTTTCAACCATTTCAAAGAACCAGAAGCTTTCGAATGTAGTATTTACAGTTCACTAATGACTCTGGATCTCAGAATATTAGCAATAGGATAGATCTTGTGCAAATGGACCTTTAGACAGCTTTTAACTACTGGAAAAAATCTTAACTACTGAAACAGTGGGAAAAGGTTATAATGGCAAAGTATTTCGGAGCGGATGCTAAGACTGAGCCATTATCTGTATTTTTGTCACTGGATATTTTTAATGATTTGGTTATTTTTAAGTACAAGATGGGCAATCAGAAATGAAAACATGGAAAAAAATCTTTGTTTTTATATTGTTAGTTGCCATTTTAAGTGTTATGTGTATATTTCAGTGTTGTTTGTCACCGGTTAATAGCATTTTCCCTGAAAAGGAAAACAGCTGGCATGCCTAAGGGATTAAAACATTGTACATATTTGAATGAACTTGAAACTCTGGATCTTGTACTCTATTTCTGACTATTTCTCAGGTAGTAGCCTTGAAATATTTTATAACACTGATTTCAACAGTGTGCCCTTTGTTTCCTCATTGATATGCTGCATTAAGGTCTGATCCAGCTTCTAGTGAAGTTCCATTGACTTCATTGGTACATGGCTAGGCCTTTAAAAATTACATAATCTTGCTAAATATTGCTGTACAAAATTAATTACTAATCTGATGGAAGTTACCCATTTTTATCTGAATATCAAATGTCTTATATTTTCTGTGAAAAAGGAGGTATTTATGGCAAGGTCAAAATTAAACGAGACTCTCTAGATTTTATTTTAATGATGTATTTGTTCTGTATAGTGAATTCTACTGTTTTTCCATATACATTTTGATTGTACCTTACCTGTAGTACTTCTAATGTTTTTTAGATAATAAAAAAACTTTTTAAGGTACTTATAGAGGCAGTGGGTTTCATCATAGCCTTCATATCTGGAATGAAGTTCCGGTTCTGAGAGAGTTGAATCTGAGTTTCCACAGTGGACTCCACTGCAGATTGAGAGCGCCTTAAAAAAACCTTGATCAACTTCTCACACTGAAGTTACAAAAAATAAAAAAAGTCTCAGAGGAGTAGCTGTATTAGTCTGTCTTTAAAAACAAATAGCGTTGTGGGCATGTTAGAAACTAACCAATATATTAGATAATGAGCTTTCATGGGTAAAACCCATAATTCATCTGATGAAGTGGGTTTTACCCATGAAAGCTCATGATCTAATATATTGGTTAGTTTCTAAGGTGTCAAGGACTCTTCATTTTTAACAGAATTTAAAGATGATTGTGGTAGAGATCAGCTGTAGTGTGTCCTTATCAACACTCTTGCTTTGCAAATGCTTTAATGAATCCTTTTCATACCATGGTGTGCAGTAGAAGGTTAATACCACTGCCACTATATTTTCCTGCACCTCTGCAGGCATGGACAATTGCAGCTCCTGTTGGCTGTGGATTGCCATTTCCGGCCAATGGGAGCCAAGGGAAGTAGACAGGGACACCACATCCTGCAGCTCCCATTGGCAGGGAACCGCAATACGTGGGCAATAGGAGCTGTAATTGCCTGTACCTGTGGAAATAAAGGTAAATATCACAGCGGTGGCCTGTCGTGGTATACCTGGGGAACTTGATCCGGCCTATGGGATGGTATTTGCCCCTCTCTGCTTATATTCACATCATGAGCTAGGAAGATATGACTATAATATTTTATAAAACTTCCATTGGTCTGTTCTTCCCTTTTTCAAATACTAAATATAAGGCCCCAGGTCCAGGAGATCATTCCACTTATTAAGTAGGACAGAATGCTGTCCCTGAAAACTAGAAACACATAAAAGTCTGTGGATAATCATGGTGGAGCTGAAATCTCTCCATATGTACTATAGAGCCCTTCTTCCCTTGGCAGCAGGGATAGCTCTTAGGTCTTTATCATGGGTTTTCCCACATGTCGTGTACTGCTCCTGGTGTCCCCCTTGTCAGATCAAGTGAGAATGAGGCTACAAGGCAGGTTTTATTTTGGTGCAGTGCTTTGCAATTAAAAAGAATTCACACAAAGTCCTTTCCCCCTGAACATAGTAAGAACAAACCGCAAATCAGGTTCCTTGCTCATAAGCTCAAGCCTGAATTTCCAACCAGTCTGTTGTCCCAAGGAGCTCTGTCTCCACTCCCTCTCCGGGACATACTATCTACTTCTCTTGCTGCCTGCAGACTTTCTTTTGACATACACAGTTGCAATCAATGGGTGTGTCTAAACTACACGTCTCAGTCAACGGAGCCATGTAGATTAGGCTGATCGGCAGAGAGAAATGAAGCCGCGATTTAAATAATCGCGGCTTCATTTAAATTTAAATGGCTGCCGCGCTCTGCCGACCAGCTGATGATCAGCTGTTTGTCGGCAGATCGGGGCAGTCTGGACGTGCCGTGGTCGACAAGGAAGCCTGTAGACCGGCGCAGGTATGCCTCGTGAAAGGCTTCCTTGTCGACCGCGGCGCATCCAGACTGCCCCAATCTGCCGACAAACAGCTGATCATCAGCTGGTCGGCAGAGCGCGGCAGCCATTTAAATTTAAATGAAGCCGCGATTATTTAAATCGCGGCTTCATTTCTCTCTGCCGATCAGCCTAATCTACACGGCTCCCTTGACGGAATCATGTAGTTTAGACATACCCAATCGGTGCCACAGACTGTGCCCTTGAAATTAGACCCCACAGAAACAGCTCTCCCACGTAGCTTAAGCATCAATCTTGCTATAGGGGCCAGTACAGTGGAATTCTGGTTTTGGTTTCATCTATCCCTCTACAGATGTTAATATTTCTTTCATTGACCTTATTATCTGAGAGCTATTAAGGACACGAATATTCAAAGACAATTTCATCCACTTTGCAAATGTTTTATGCATCTTTACGGGCTAAGAGATTGCATTATGGCTCAAAAGGAAAGTTAGAATGGTTTCCTAGAGGAACTGAAATCACTGGAGGTAATTAATGCAAATCCCTGAGCTGGTTGCAAGCAAGTCTGTAGATACCTTTCCCCTTGGAGTAAGTTGCACAGAGTGGTTTAAAAAGTGTAGCAAATTAAGAACTGTATAATGTGACCACTCTACTCCCACCCCAACCATGAAAGGACACAAGACTGATTCAGAGGAAATATACTTCAAGACAAACCAAAATACTTAGAAAAACATGCCATTTTATCCCTGCATATAAATTGGTTTCAGGAAATATTTTCTCTGTACTGCTTTTGTTCTGAATAAATAGTACTTTGCTTTATGAAGGCTGGTCAATGGCTAATCTTGTCATTGCCCCTGAGAGAGCAGAGCTGAGCTATAATCAGCTCTGAGGTGTTTCCTGTGAATTATAGGTGTTTGTAGCCTAAATCCCTAGTCAGGCAGGATTGAATTGTACAATCTCAGCCCAAGAAGGGTGACCAGTCAAGGTCTGAGATGTGAGGCTAACAATGTGATTGTCTACACAGGAATTCCGTTATTTTGAAATAAATTCAAAATAACAGATGGCTTATTCCAACTTGTATAAAACTCATTCCACAAGGAATAATGCCTAGTCTGAAATAGCTATTTTGGAATAGCCATAGTGTGGACGCTCCACTACTGCTATTTCAAAATAGCTCCTTCCCAGGGCCATTCAAAGTAATTACACCCCAGTGCCTCCTGGGCCTCTAAATCGAGATAGCACATCTACATTAGGGAAGCCTGCCTTGGACTTATTTTGAGGCTTCCCTGTAGTGTCAGAATGCTATTTTGAAATAAGCTATTTCAGAATATTTCTTCTGGAATAGCTTATTTTGAAATAAGTGTGCAGTGTAGATGTATCTGCAGAAAGCCACAAAGTAGTCAGGCTCAGTTAACTCAGGAACAGAGAGACCTAGGGCTAGTTTCAGAAACAATTTTCCCATGTAAATTTGCATTTTAATCTTTCAGTACAGGTTTCATCTCTATAAACCAGAACTCTATCCTGGCATCATTCATGGTCTGGAAAGACCATGGATGTTTCAGGATCAGAGTCCTGGTGTGTTGCAAGGGTGGCAGCGAGCCAGGTGTAATGCAAGGAGTGGGGTGATATGCAGCTCAGCTAGGCTGAAGGTGTGGGATGGGGCACAGCAGCCCAGCTGAGGTGCAGGGGGGTCCAAAAGCCCACATGCAGCTCAGATGGGATGGGGGGAAGGGGCAATGGCTCAGCTGATCTGTATGGGGAGCCAGGAAACCCGGGCAATGGGGGGTCAGAAATGGCCACCCAGATCCCAAAAAAATCTCTCATCCAGGACTAGTGATGTCTTGAGGCTGCTAGACCAGGGAGGTCCAACCAGTAGACTTACAAACAAGGCATGGGCAAAGCACTACTTCCCATACCTCTGGGCTGTGTCTACATTGGCATGATTTTGCGCAAAAGCAGCCACTTTTCTGCAAAAACATGCTGCCTGTCTACACTGGCGGGGGATTTTTTTGCAAGAACACTGATGTTCTAATGTGCAAAATCAGTGCTTCTTGCACAAGAACTATGATGCTCCCGCTCAGGAATAAGCCTGCTTGTGCAACTGTTCTCACGCAAGAGGCCAGTGTAGACAGGCAACATGAATTTCTTGTGCAAAAAAGCCCGATGGCTAAAATGACCATCGGAGCTTTCTTGTACAAGAGAGCGTTTACACTGGCATGGATGCTCTTGCGCAAAAGCACATCTCTTGCACAAAGGTACATGCCAGTGTAGACGCTCTCTTGTGCAAATACAAGTATTTGCGCAAGATCATGCCAATGTAGAGGTAGCCTTGTTTTTACTGGCTTATCCCTTTTTTCATCCTAAAAGAAGGGAGTATCAAAAACTTACCTGGCCATTTAAAAAAAAAATATTACTGAGAGATCAGCAGTAGTCTTCCTCCTCTTTTTGCTAAAGATCCGTTTACCATAAACAGGTATTCTTTCTCTCTGTAACCCATGCTAACACATAGGGTTCATTTCCCTCACCTTGGGGCTAGATAACAGAAATTTATCTGGTTCTGCCTCTTAAGTTTATAGAGCTGGTCCTGGTCAAGTGTAGATTTTGCTTTCATATCCAGTTATCAATAGTTTAATCCCAAGAGGCAACAATTCCAGGCACATGAATGCACATAAATTTGCCAAATTAAAAAATGTTTGCATTGAACAACTAACATGCTTTATAATCTTTGCAATATATGGGACTGCTGAGGCAGGAGAGTGCAACCTCCACAATGCAAAGTGACACAGGTGCGATGTTAATCGTAGGGAACCTGCCTCCTAACCTCATGTTCAAGTACTTGCCCTTCACTTATTTCACATTAATTTTTAAAATGAACTCTTGCTGTTTTATTGTTTCTGACAAAAGTGAGTTATTCAAAATAAATTAAATTAAATAACATAGATAAGGCGCTCCTTAACCCTCTGTGATGGGAAAGAAACAGGATTTTTATTCCATTTGTAATTGAGG